GTATCTGACTGGGTGGCTCAGTTGGTTGAGCATCATCCAGTACACCAAAAGGTACTGGGTTCAATTTCCGGTCAGGGCATAAACCTATGTTTTGGGTTGGTCCTTGGGTCGGGGCACATACATGTAACCAACTGAGATTTCTTTCACACATTGATGTTTCTCTCTCTCCCCCTCCCTTTCTCTCTCTCTCAAATCAATAAAAATATCATCGGGTGAGGATTTTTTTGTAAAAGAAACTTCTCAAGGATAGACTTTAAGAAGAAAAAAATACTCACAAGGAAGGCTTGAGACACAAAATGGAAAAGCAAAACAAAAAAAGTAAACAATTACATTGTATAGTAATAATAAGTGTGGGGCTAACATTTGTGGAGCTGAAAATCCAATTTGTGGGCTAAAAAAATAAAACAACAGAAATAACATAATAACATAGGGCAGAAGAAGAGTTATTAATGTTAAAATGCCTTAAGGTTCTTGTAGGGAGAGACCAAGATGGCGGCATAGGTAAACACCGGAGATTGCTGCCGCAAACAACCACTTCAAAAATACAACTAAAAGACGGAATGGACATCACCCAGAACCCCAGGAAGGCTGGCTGAGGAGAGACTCTTCAACTAGAAGGAAAGACAGCAGCGTGCCAAGGCTCAGAGGAGGCGCAGTGTGGAAAATACAAAGGTGCGGAGGTACTCGCGCAAAGCGGGCTGGTGGCTGAGGGCGCGGTTGTCGTTTTCAATCAGGAGGGAGTCTCAGACTCTGAGCTCCAGATCCGGGCGAGTCTCTAGGGACTCAGACTCAAACGGGAGAGGCGGGATTGTCTGGCATCAGTTGGAACGTGAGGGCAGCTTTCTCTCCGAGGTTTTCAGTGGTTGCTGGGGTTCTGAGAAGCAGAGCCTCTGGGAACGGGACTGAGAGCAGCCATAACTGCTCCCTCCTCCGCCCTGTTGATCCCCTGCGACCCGCTCTGCCCAAGCCCTGCGCAGAGCCATTTGCCGGATCGCCTCAGGCAAAGGCTAGATTAGCACCTCTCCAGAGGACAGAAGTTTTCCCACTGCAGATACAGCTGATTCTAACAGCCAGTCGGTCTGGTGGTCAAATCCCTTTAGTATTAACTACAACAAAGGCTTAACTAGAACAAGGCTTAACTAGAACAAGACTTCACACAAAGACCACAAGGGGGTGCACCAAGAAAGCATAAAAAATGCGGAGACAAAAAAACATGACAGAAATGGAGGATATAGAGCTAAAAAATGCAATTTTGAGGGCTTGCAATAATGTGCTAGAAGCTGCCAATAAACTTGATGAGAGCCTCACGAAATCTAATGAGACCCTCGATGCTGTGATAAAGAACCAACTAGAAATTAAGCATACACTGACTGAAATAAAGAATATTATACAGATACCCAATAGCAGACCAGAGGAGCACAAGAATCAAGTCAAAGATTTGAAATGCGAAGAAGCAAAAAACACCCAACTGGAAAAGCAAAATGAAAAAAGAATCCGAAAGTGTGAAGATAGTGTAAGGAGCTTCTGGGACAGCTACAAGCGTACAAACATCAGAATAATAGGGGTACCAGAAGATGAGAGACAGCAAGATATTGAAAACCTATTTGAAGAAATAATGGCAGAAAACTTCCCCCACCTGGTGAAAGAAATGGACTTACAGGTCCAAGAAGCGCAGAGAACCCCAAACAAAAGGAATCCAAAGAGGACCACACCAAGACACATCATCATTAAAATGCCAAGAGCAAAAGACAAAGAGAGAATCTTAAAAGCAGCAAGAGAAAGAGACTCAATTACCTACAAGGGAACACCCATACGACTGTCAGCTGATTTCTCAACAGAAACTTTGCAGGCCAGAAGGGAATGGCAAGAAATATTCAAAGTGATGAATACCAAGAACCTACAACCAAGATTACTTTACCCAGCAAAGCTATCATTCAGAATTGAAGGTCAGATAAAGAGCTTCACAGATAAGGAAAAGCTAAAGGAGTTCATCACCACCAAACCAGTATTATATGAAATGCTGAAAGGTATCCTTTAAGAAGAGGAAGAAGAAAAAGGTAAAGATACAAATTGTGAACAACAAACATGCATCTATCAACAAGTGAATCTAAGAATCAAGTGAATAAATAATCTGATGTACAGAATGAACTGGTGATTATAATGAATCAGGGACATAGAAAGGGAATGGACAGACTATTCTTGGTGGGGAAAGGGGAATGGGAAATGCGGGAAGAGACTGGACAAAAATCGTGCACCTATGGATGAGGACAGTGGGTGGGAGTGAGGGCGAGGGTGGGCGGAAATGGAGAGGGAGTATGGGGGGGGAAGGGAAGAGGAACAAATGTAATCTGAACAATAAAGATTTAATTTAAAAAAAAACAAAATCTGGGACCCTTCAGTTTGCAGGCCGATGCTCTATCCACTGAGCAAACTGATCAGGGCCCATTGATTTTTTTTTTTTTTTTTTAGAGAGAGTGAAAAAAGAAAAAAAAAAAGGTTCCTTGTATTATTTAGGAGAGTAAAGACAATGATTAATTTATGTAAGTCAAATATACATTAAAAAATTTTAGAACAACCATTAAGCAATACAAATAATGTATAACTTCCAATTTAATATAGTGAAAAATTGGAATGTGAAAAATACTCAATTCAGAGAAATTTAAGAATAGAAAAACTACATATAAGAAAAATGAGGGAAATGATATGTTAGATAAAATAGATGTTAGAATAAGTCTTCTATTTAAGAATAAATCTAACAAAAATGTAACAAGACCTTTATGTATTAAAGTATATAACTTTAGTGGAAAACATTAAAAATGGTTAAATAATGAAGAGATATATGATTCTCATGAGCAAGAAGACTTAATTTTATAAAGTTATTCACTTTCCCCAAATTGATCACTAGATACAATTCCAACATCCCAATAAATATGCATGTGTGTAACTTGATAAGCTTATCCTATAAAATAAAAGCCTAATATGCTAAGTGTCCGACCGTTTGTTCAACTGTTTGACCAGTCGCTATTATGCACACTGACCACCAGGGGGCAGATGCTCCAACCAGTAGGTTAGATTGTTTTTGGGGTCTGGCCGATCAGGACTGGGCAAGATGGGCCGGACACTTCCTGGAGCCCTCTCGCGGTCCCTCCCTGGCCCTAATCATGCACCGGTTGGGGTACCTCAGCCTGGCTTGCGGGTATTGAGCCAAAACTGACTCTCCAACATCTCCTGAGGGGTCCTGGATTGCGAGAGGGTGCAGGCCAGGCTGAGGGACCCCACCGCTGCATGAATCCATGTACCGGACCTCTAGTTCTAAAATATATAAAAAGCAGCAAATAGCTTTAAAAATATCCCAGACACTTGAAAAAACAAGAACATGGTAAGAGACACCAACAAGATCTCAAGATATATTTATAAAATTAGAGTAATTAAGAAGTTTGTATTGGCATGAGAACAGAGAAGCAGGTAGATAGAGCAGAGGAGAGAATCCAAAAACAGACCATGCAAATATTGATACCTGATATGACAGAGGTAACATTGCAGATTAATAGGGAGACAAGGGATATTCAGTAATGATTTTAAAAATTGGGTTTTCATATTAAAAAATGAAATAGATACCAAATCATAAAACACACAAAAAATAATTCTGGATGATTTATAACTTAAGCTAAAACTTTGAAATAGGAGTAAAGGGCAATGTATTTTTTTAAGGGTTATTTCCACCTGTTTTTTGCAATGTATTTTTATATCTGAGGGAGAATTTCTTAATCTAGATCCCAAAAGCACAAATTAGCTAGTAAAAGCTTGATAAATTTGACTACATTAAAACTAAGACACTTTGTCAAATGGCTACATAAAGACAAACCACAAGCTAGGGGAAAATATTTGCAACATATATAATCAACAAATGATTACTCTCAAGAATGTATAGATGATTCATTCAAATTATAAAAAGTCAAGCAACTCAATGGATAAAATGAGCAAACGCTTCAAATGTCTTTGTAGGCAAAAACACAATGAGCCAATAAACACATGAAAAAATGCTCAACCTCATTAATCATCAGAAAAATACAAATCAATAATCATATGGGATACTTTTATGATCAGAGTGGACAAAAGAAAAAAAATTCTGATGACACCACAGTACCAAGTACTATGGCATAGGGAAATGAGGACTCACCCACTGATAGTGGGAGGTAAACTCCTATGACTACTTAGTAAATCAGTTTAGGATGATCTATAAAGTTGAAGGTATTTCCTACATCCTAGCAATTCTGTTTCTAGGACATACCTTAGAGGAACTCTGTACATATACACAAGGAGAAACTTATGAGAATGTTTATAGCTGTATCAATTGCTATGGGGGGGGGGTGCAACATAAAGGTTCATCTCCAGGAAAATGGATAAATTGTAATAGATTCACTTAGTAAGATATTATATGCGGCTGTTATACTAGTATTTAATGACCAATAGTTATATTCCCAAACAGAGATAAGTCGCACAAACATGATATTGTATGGAAAAGATAGGTTACAGGAGAATACCCGCAATGATTCCATTTACATAAAGATTCAGAAGCATATAAGACTACAGCAGTTGGTCAAAAAAGGCTTAACTGTTACTGTATAATTTGTACTTTGTAATATCTGGTAGTTGCATGGTTCGTTAAGCTTCAGGATAACAGAAAATTAAGCATTAACTATGGGGCCAGGAAATAAAAATCTGTGAAATCAAAACCTTTAAAATCTATCTACAAAATCTTAGTAAAATATCCATGTAGCAAATTAGAAAGATCATCTTAAGGCTATCTTTAAAGTGCCATCAGTAAATCAGACTGTATCCTAAATTCTGGTACTTGCTCGGGCCACCCCAGTATGACATACGGTGGTAGGTTTCTGTTACTAACTTGCTGTAACACTTGTCCCAGCGCGGTCTGTCCGCTGCATGCCTAGACCACCAGTGTTCTGTCTGGACAGCGTCACCGGAGAAGCCTGAGCGACATGTTCAGGGCACAGATCTCGGCTCTGGTATGTGGTGTTGGTGGGTTTGGAGCTCTCGTTGCCGCCACCACGTCCAATGAGTGGAGAGTAACCACCCGAGCATCATCGGTGATAACCGCTACTTGGGTTTACCAGGGGCTGTGGATGAACTGCGCAGGTAACGCGTTGGGTTCTTTCCAGTGCCGGCCGCACTTTACTATCTTCCAAGTACAAGGTAAATATAATAACGTTGCTTGCGGTTGAAGTACAATGTCACTTTTCTCTTCACTATACTGACCTAGCTGTATACAGTCAGCTGTGAACTCTGTACAGACTGAGTGCTTCATTAAAGTGCCATGATTTGCCCAAGACGGACGGGGTATAGGAATGTTGGCTGAAAGAATTAAATCATGCATTGTATGTGGCAAAGAAAAGTTAAGAATGACTTTCTGGATCTTTTAGAAATACCTACTGCAAAGGATAGACTCATAGGAAAGGGTGAAGTGACTGGCTTGTTTTAAAAGCTAGTTTCAATGTGTCTTGTGGAGGAATCATTCATATAATAAATCGTACTTATCCTATGCTTTCTCGTGCCACCTGAACATGAAAATACATACATGCATATGTATATGCACATTATATTCAACATGATAGAAGCATATGACAAGACGAACAGTGTGAAGTGAGAAAAGAGTTCTGTTTTCAGAGGGTTTTCCATGTTTAGTGATAAAATAGCAGAACCAGAAGAATTTAAAAGTAGCTAAGTGAAGGACAAGGCCCATGAGCTTTACCTTTTTGTTACTTGGTTTTATTTTTAAAATATGTAGGCAAGCTTTCATGGCTATGCATATTAGAAATTCTACTACAAGTGTATGTATTTTAAAGAGGGAACTTAAAAAAAAGCACTTTATATCTCAGGGAAACAGTTATTTGCTTTTATGTCATTATAAGAACCACTATCTGCCTCTGTTTTCTGCCCATTTGACACGTTTACAAATCTGCCACAAGTTGTGGGTGTATTATTATGTTAAAAATTGCCCCTGATATTTTATAAAATATAGACTTTTCACAACCCAATGTCAAAACTGTACCTTGGCCCCAGCAGATAAAATGAAATAAAAATTTAACTAGGAAGTTACTAGAGCATAATGTTTTATGGGGATTTTTGTGTCAAGTATTCAGGTCATTAGTCCACAGTATGTGCTAAAGGATACAGAGAGAAGCTTAGTGAAAGCCCGGAGATTTCTGGTGACAGTCAATGAAAATGTTCGAGCTTGGACACCAGTTAGGCTGTCAAATCACATGGACTTTCCTAAGCACCCATTTTAGGATTCAATGATGTCTCTCTTGTCCCAATGTCTAAACTTACTTTGGGATATTTCACAATCGGTACAAGGGTAATTTTAAAAGGAGAACAGTGTGTGGAGACACTGTTGTCATTCTGTAAACCTCCTGTGATGGCTCTTTCTCCATGGTCCCCTCATGGCTCATTCCCACCCTGGCCAGCGGGTCAAAATATGTTATGTGGGTAAGCCTTTATCTTTGTTCTTTACTGGGTTCACCTTTTTAAAAAAAGAAAGTGTTTTGCCTTATTACCCTTCATTTTTATTCCCTAACAAAAACCAGGTATTGTGAAAAATAGACATCCAACCTTAGCTCCAAAGTGGGCTAAAGGACATGGTAGATTTCTGTGCCACTTCAACAGCTACTTCCCCAAATACATCTTAGAAAACATGGAGTTAGAAATTTTGTTACTATGTAGTGGTCCACATAATCTTCCGCTCTTAAAATTTTATCCCCCTAATTTTGCTTCTTGATAGTAAAAATAACGTATTCTATACCTGCTGTGTACCCTGCACGTAAGAGATAAATCGAAAAATCTCGTCCACTGACAAAGCTTTGATTAGAATAAGCTAAATTTTACTTGACATAATCTCTCCACTATCTTCACCCTGGATTGAAATCTTTATAAAAGATAGTTACCACAGAAATCTATTTTCAGCATCAGGAACACTGAATCATATTTCCAAAGGAAATGGGAACTCACAAATTTGGATTTCCTATTCACAGAGAATCATTGCTGACAGGGCTGGTTGGTTGCGTTTCCTTTATTCCTATTTGAAAACATAACAATGGGGGTGTTGGGAAAACTTTTTATGCCAACATGCTGTCAAACATCATAATGATTCCAAATTGAGAAAAGAACTCAGAAGCCAATGAGGCGTGCAAATGGTTATATCACCTCATAAAATAAAGAGCGATTTAATCCTCCTTTGTCAATTTGAGATGAATCTTCTTAAACTTAGGTCAGATTAAGCCTCCTCTAAACTGCTAGGTTTATGGAGTGTTTTGTGTGTTTTTTTGTTGTGTGTGTGTGTGTGTGTGTTGTGTGTGTGTGTTTTTCCTTTGGTGGTTACATAAATTCATTACCAGCTTCATACCTTCTTTTTGCTAAACCTCTTAGGTGCCCTGTTATAACCACAGTTTTTTAGGGACTCATTTAGGTTAATATTGACTACACCCTTTAAACTTTAAAGATTTGATGTAGGCCAGCACCTCTTTGGACAAGGGGCATTCACAGTAATTACGAAAAACACAGGCCCCCTCCAACTGCAGTTCTGTGGAATCAATTTCAGGAAAGCACTGTAGGGAGACTTGAAATTCAGTCCTCACTGCAGCTGGGAAGCTTCTCTTTTTTGGGGGGGGGTGCGGAGCTTCTTGACTCAATTTCAAGAGCACTTCACTCTCTTTAGATGCAATATCCACTCTAGGCTGTGTTAAAGAACAAAATTCAATTGAGGAAATTTGAAGATGTAATTGACTGTATTGAGTGGTTCATAAATCAGGTAGCATCCCATCCAGCAAGTAAAGAGAAGCCCTGAAAATGTGTACAATATGCAAAGTTTTTATAGGCAGAAACTGGGCGAGACAAAATGGTTATTAGCAAAAGAAAAGCAAGGATTATTTCAGGCAAGGGTACCTTGTTTGAGGTGGGATCTTGTCAGGCAGACTGCCTCAGTTTCTTTTGGAAGGGATAGAGAGGCTCCATGTGATAGATTGCTTCATTGGTACTGACCATAGAATTCCAGACTGAACCATTAATACCGCATTCCTGGAGAAGGTTATGCAATTAGTTAGGTATTAAGTCTAGGTTTGCTGTCATGGGCTTTGGCAGAAGTGACTCCATTTTGGGCCTGTGGTTTTCTCTTTAAGAGCTGCATCTCTCATTTTGTTGTGTGTGTGTGTGTGTGTGTTTTTAAATCCTCGCCTGAGGATATTTTTCCATTGATTTAGAGCAGTGGTTCTCAACCTTCCTAATGCCGTGACCCTTTAATACAGTTCCTCATGTTGTGGTGACCCCCAATTTCATTGTTACAAATTGAACATAATTAAAGCATAGTGATTAATCACAAAAACAATATGTAATTATATATGTGTTTTCCAATGGTCTTAGGCGACCCCTGTGAAAGGGTCATTCGACCCCCAAAGGGGTTTCGACCCACAGGTTGAGAACCGCTGATTTAGAGAGTGGAAGGAAGAGGGAGGGACAGAGAGAGAGAAACATTGATCTGAGAGAAACACATCCATTGGTTGCCTTCTGCAGGTGCCCTAACTAGGGTCAGAGATTGAGCCTGCAACGAGGTACGTCTCTTAACCAGAATCGAACCCAGGACCTTCAGTCCCAAGGCCGATGCTCTATCCACTGAGCCAAACAGGCTAGGGCTTGTTGTGTTTTTTCTCTCATGTCAATGTTAATAGGCATGTTTTCATGGACATGAGAGTAAAGCATTTCTCACAGGGAGAGAAGCAGTGATTTCTGGCAGGGAACGCTGGATCCAGAAGGCATTGCTATAATTAGAAATTAAAGCTCAGTTGTGGTCACCTGGAGGACAGGGGCCTGGTCTGTTCTGTTCTCCTTGTGCTCCGGGCACATAGAGTTCTGGATTACATTTGAAACATTACTGAGAGAACAAAATCATGAGTCAGACAGATAGTTCATCATGAGGGCAAAATTGCGTTCCTGGAGGAAGGCTGGAGTGTCATGAATTGAGGAGTAATTTAGGACATGTACTCAGGCGACAAAAAGGAAGATCACTGGGTTGCAATTCAGCAGATGGCACTTCAGGTTCTGACTCTTTCATTTAACTAGCTGCGAGACCTTGACTCTGGCAATGAAACTCTCTGTCTCATTCATAAATTTCCTCCTCCATAAATTGAGAGAGCTGGACTCCAAGAGTTCCTCAAAGTATCTTTCAACCTAAAGTTCAATTCAAGAGCATCACAGTGCTTCACCACCTGGCAGTAGAAGTTCACCAAAGAATTATAGCTGTAAAAGGCTCTTCTAAGGTAATTGCTCATAAGATTAGTCCTTTTTCTCCCCTTATCTATTATCTTGGCTGGCTGGCTTCCTGTGTTCCCGACTGTTTAGAATCTTAACCGTATCTGGGTGGAGATAGGTTTAAATGACCTTAAATGACTCTATGACCCAAGTAAAGGTGCCAGGATTTCAGTGGAATGAAACCAAATGCTATTCTGGAAGCTGACATTCAAATGATGCTGGCTGCCTATAGGATAAACCTTCTCTCCTCGCCTGGCAACTCTTTCACCTCTCCCCATCCCCTTATCCGTCATGCCATAAGAATGGGGATAAAAAGAATGGCATTTGCTAGAGAAAAGGGGGTTCTCTGTGGGTATTTATTGACATACAGGGAATGGCTAGGAGCCACCTGATACCATGATTTTAGATTTCTTGCTAGTTGAAATGTGTGCCTTAGTTCATGATTAACTAACAGTCATAAATTTCAAACAACAGTAATGAATAAATGAAAGCGATGGTGTCAATGAGGGAAATTACCTTTAGTAATTTGGTAGCTTCAAAAATATTTCAAAATTAATACCTTTAATACATAGCTACATCTTTGGAAGACATTTACCTTTAATCTCAGGAGAGGCTTCTATTTGCTGATTCTGACTCTGCTTTCTGAAACTTGATTTCAATAACTAAGCCTAAAATGAATTTTAATTTTAGATGTATTCTCCTGTTGTGTTCCAGATGCATGCAGTTATTTAAAAGCATGTAGATAAAAGAAAAGAAAAAAATAAAATAAAAGCATGTAGAACACCTCAAGTTTGTCTTTGGCATTATCACCCCAAAAATGAGCCTAAGGAACATCAACATGTTCTTGTCCCAACTAAACATGGCATAATTTTATAAGTTTACTGACACACTCAATG